AGTGCTGCAGGACCCGTGTGGCTCCATGTGCCCCCTCCCCCCCCCCCCCCCCCCCCGCCATCACCTGGGGGTGACCTGGCCTCCACAGGACCTTGGTGATGTCTGGGATGTGGGGTTTGTCCCAGAGGCCTCGGCATGGAGCGGGGAGGCCAGGGAGGCCCCAGGATGCCCACACAGAATCGAGGTGCCCAGGCCTAAGCCATCTCAGGGCCACCACGAGGCCCCAGCTGCCCCCGGTGAGTCACCGCAGGCCTGCGCTGCCATGTGTCATTTCCTCTTGTTCCTCGAAGCTGAGACCCTGCGCGGCAGGGACCAGTTTTTCAGGATGAGCAGTGATGAAGAGGAAGTGTGCCCAGAGCCTGAGGAACAGGGCACTGTGCTTCTGGGGGTTCAGGCGGCACCTGGACGCCTCCCCAACTCCATTCCCAAGCTGCTAAGGGCCTGGCCCCGTGTGAGCAGCCGCCTCCTGTTACAGGGCTTCTGGTCCACATCCGGGGGCTTGGCATGAAACCCCTAGAGGTGGAAAGCCTTGCCCTGGAACAGGGTCTCCACCCCCCCCCCCCCCCCCGCCCATCTCTGCAGAGTGAAGGCCCAGCCTTCCACCCCTCCACACAGCACTCTGCCCCCAACCCTGAGTGACAGGGACAGGCCCTTGCATACATGGCCAGCATCACTTGGGGTTGTGTCTAGTGAGGGGGAGCACATAGAAATGGGGACCTGAATCTGGAGCCAGGAAGGGCCCAGAACAGCGGCCATGGTTGGCAGGCATGCCAGATGCCAGGCCTGCTGAGCCACCTCAGTGGGCCTGACTCATGAGGTGGGGTGTGCAGGGGTCCTCACCCAGGTGTGCCGAGTGACCATGGGGTACCCACCCCCAAGGGAGCAGGTGAAGCTTGTGAGCACGTGTCCAGAAGGTGTGGCTGTGGTGGTGAATACTCTGGGGACCTTGGGGTAACTCCAGAGGCCATAGGCAGTGGCAGACCCCACAGTGAGCAGCCGCCTAGGGCCATTCCTAAGGCTCGGTCCTGCTGGCACTCAGCCACCCGGTGTTGTGGGGTCTCTGTGATCATTGTTAAGTTTGGGGAGCAGAACAGCGCAGGCTCCTTGGCCTGCTGTCCTGGGGTTTGTGTGAACCACTAAAATGGCTCTGACAGAGCTCAAGTAAAATGAACGGCCTGCTTCCTCCCCCAGCAGGCCCTGCCGCCTGACCCTGTCCCCATGCCCCCTGCTCTACCTGCAGATCACCGAGCCGGCAGGGCTCCCGCGCCTCCTCTGCCATGCTCAGCTCCTGCGAGCTGCCACAGGGGTGTCTGCCCTTTGTGCCTGAGAGGTAGAAACACCAAACCTGTGCCAAAAAGGGCTTGCACCTCTGCTTTGGAAAGCAGTTGCCAGAGTCTCAGCAGCCCCAGTAGAACTGTGTGTACCACGTGTCCATCCCATCCCCAGCCTGCAGCAACCACGCTGCATCCCTGCAGGAAAGTGTTCTGCCCCTGCCCGGGCCCTGCTGAGAACCACTGGTTAGGCCTTTGGCCAGTTTGGCCTCCTGCCCTGTGGGCAGCAAGGGTGGGTTTATTTTGGATGTTGATGCTTGCTGTGCCTCACAGTCCTTCGTACCTTCTGTTGCACCTGCAGCCGGCTGGCTGCGGAGGATCACCGCAGACTGGCCACGCTCCTGGCTCTTAGCCGCCCGGGTCGAAGTCTGGGGCCCAACTCCTCAGAGGCAGATGGGTGCCCGCTCCCAGTTGTAGATTGTACCAGTTAGACTGTGGGAACCCCACACCCTTCAGTCAACCAGTCCTAGATTCACAAAAAAAGACTGCATCGGAGCTGGAAGCTTTGTGGTGTGTGCTTGCCTGTGTGTGTCAGGCCCCGGGGTCTACCCTGTGTACCACCCAAAAACAATTAAAATGTATATGGAGCCAGCTACTGTGGCTCCCACCTGTCATCCTAGCCACTCAGGAGGCCGAGATCTCAGGATCACGGATGGAAGCCAGCCTGGGCAGGAAAGTCTGTGACACTCATCTCCAATTAACCATCAGGAACCCAGAAGTGGCGCTGTGGCTCAAGTGGTAGAGCATTTACCTTGAGCTGAAGAGCTGAGGGACAGCGCCCAGGCCCAGAGTTCAAGCCCTATGACCTACCTACCAAAAAGAAAAAAAAAAAAAGTATATGATGGGAGGCTAGGTACCAGTGGCTTACACCTGTAATTCTAGCTACTGGGATGTGAGACCGAGGGTGAGATCTGAGGGTCTCAGTTTGAATGTCTCTAACATTCTTCTCTTCAATTAACCACAAGCTGGAAATAGAGCTGTGGCTCAAGTGGTAGAGTATTAGCCTTGAACACAAAAGCTCAGGGACAGTGCTAAGGCCCTAAGTTCAAGCCTCAGGACCAGCACCAAAAATTTACATGGGAAGGGGGTGTGATGTGACGTGCAAATACCACTTGAGGTCCCGGAACTCTCTACTCACCATATGAAATAAGCAAGTTTCGGTGCCATATCAACCTGCTTTGTTGGTGGTGGTCATAGAGCTTGAACTCGGCCTGGGCGCTGTCCCTCAGCTCTTCAGCTCAAGGTGAGCGCTCTACCACTTGAGCCACAGCGCCACTTCCGGCTTTTTCTGCTTATGAGGAATCGAACCCAGGGCCTCATGCATGCAAGGCAAACGCTCTACCACTAAGCCACCTTCCCAGCACTCATCCTGTTTGGTTTTAAGCCAGGGTCTTCAAATATGGCTCAGGTTGGGCTAGAACCCATGACTGGCCTGCCTCCTGAGGGCCAGGGTAGCACGCAAACCATTCAGCTCATAGTACGCACACCCCTTTTATTTTTCCTTCTGTTTTGGTTGAACTGGGGAGCCTCGTATGTGGCAGGTGCTCTGCCTCTTAAGCCACATCTCCAGTCCTGGACCTAAGTTTGCATTACAGACATACTCCATTGACTGAGAAGGCCTGGTCCTGTGTCGGTGCGGGGGGGGGGGGGGGGGGGGAGCAGGGGTGTGCCTCTAAAGGATGCAGGAAGGAGAGCCTGCGCACCCTCCCTGCGGCCTCATTGAAGTCCCTCTGGGACGGTGCCTGTGGTAACGGCTGGGGGCCCCCATGGGGACCCCCCGTCTCTGTGATGATGCTCCTGCCCCAGCTTCTAAAGGAGCCCCACTCCCTGGCGTTGGCTGTGGGGTCCGCAAGCTGGGGCTCAGCCTCCTGTGCGCTGGGCTCGCGGTTGCAGTGTCTTGCTTGGCCCTGGAGCTGCTTCTGACCTGGGCATGCGCTCTGGTTCCCTCCCACAAGTGCTGGCGCAGGGCCCCGAGTCACCTGAGAGACCCTTCGTTCTGACCGCGGAGGCCGTGGTCAGCGAGCTTGGCTCCCCCAGCAGCTCTGCACCAGGGCCTTCCAGCACCTGAGCTGATCCCGCTGGCAGCAGGCCCAGGAGTGCGCCCTGGGAGGAGGAAGGAACTTTCTGGAATAGTGAATCTTGCTCTGCTACCCAGCAGGCACTCAGGCGTGTGGCCAGGTGGGCATTTACCACTGGCCCTGAGCTCTCGATACGGTCTGTCGGGACGCTGCCCCCAACGTGGTGTCTGCCAGAACAGGCATCGCCGTGCCCTTGGGGTGCCCTGGGGCCTAGGCTGGTGTGGGTGGGGTGCATCCTGCGAAGGGAGAGGCGGCCTGGCTGTCAGCACTGCCTGCGGCCGCAGCCCAGTGGACCAGAAGCGGGGTGTTATCCTGGCAGCATCCCCTCAGCGCGCACACTCAGGACTTGGGGACACGGGAGTGGGTGCAGGCTTGGGGGACCTGCCACAGCAGCCGTTGGGGGACACTCACTCCCAGCCAGGAGCCCCCTTCCTCCTCCGTACCTGTGCTCACAGCGGCACTATGGGAGGGGCTGCCAGCCATGGCTGCCGTCCTGCAGGTCTTGCCCCTCACCTCTGCCTGGTTGGGGCCCAGCCCCGCTCCAGCCGTGGCCCTGGCACTTGGCAGAGGCCATCTGGGGTGAGGAGGGGCCGTGGGTCTGCGCAGCTCCTCAGGTACCACGTTGTTCCGAGGCGATGGACAGGCGAGGACCGGGGAGACCACGCTGGTGCGACCTAGGGCTGTTCTCAAACAGCTCCAGGAGAGAGATGGTCATCAAACAGTCGCCTTTTGTTGTTGTTGGTTGTGGGGCCTGAACTCGGGGCTTGGGCACTGTCCCCAAGCCTCTTTCAGCTCAAGGCTGGTGCTCTACCACTTGAACCACAGAGCCACCTACGGCTTTTGAAGGTTTCATTGGAGATAAGAGTCTTGTGGGGACCTTCTGCCTGGGCTGGCTTCAAACCACAAACCTCAGATCTCAGCCTCCTGAGTAGCCAGGATGCCAGGCGTGAGCCACCAGTGCCCATTCGCCTATTTAGTTTCTCCAGGGTCAGTGTGGAGCTCAGTGAGTGGGGGTCATCCAGCTGCAGATTCAGGGTGTGTAGGCGGGAGGGCAGCAGGGGTCTCAAGAGAACCAGTGTGTTCTCAGGGCCTCCAGGCAACAGCTGTTATTCCCACGTTGGGAGTGGGGTGGTGTCTGCCCTGCACCTCTGTTTAGTGGACAGGGAGCCACGGGCGCTCATTCAGAAGGTGTCTGCTGTGGCCCTGTGCTACGTTTGGTGGCACCATAGCACCATCCCTGAGCATCGTCCACCCTGCCTGGCTCCCAGGCCAGTGCTCCTCTCTCCGGTGTTCTTCCCCCACTGATGGCACTTCCCAGCCTCCCACACACGCACGCGTGCGCTCACGCACGCATGCCCCCGCCCCACCCCATCCCGCTGGGCTGACTGCAAGGCCCTGGCCCTCAGCCGTCAGGTGTGAGATGAGGCGCGCTGGCCCCGCACTTGTAGGGCACACGTGGGCCAGGGGCTATGGCTTGGAGCCACAGTGCTGCCACTTGTCCCCCTCCAGTGCCACCTGCCCTCCCAGCCCTGGAGGTCAGCAGCTAGTTTGTCCCCACGGTCACCTCACTGACCCCTGCCCTTCCTCCCAGGCTGCCCTGGCTGGAGTCCCGCCCCGCCCCGCCCGGCCATGGACCAGGACTACGAGCGGAGGCTGCTACGCCAGATCGTCATCCAGAATGAGAACACCATGCCCTGTGTGAGTCTGTGCAGAGTGGGGGGGGGGGGGGGTATGCCCTGTGTGAGTCTGCAGGGTGGGGGGTCCCACCGTGACCTGGCGTAACCAACACTGAGCTAGGATCAGGCCCTGCCTGCATCCACACCGGTAGGAAGGAGGGCAGCAAGGGTGGTGAGGTCCTGCCCACCTCCCCTGCCCAGGCCATGGGCTCCGTTCCCCGCCCCCCCTCCCCCCCCCTCCCCCGCCCCTGCTGTTTCCTGGACAGGCCCGGGGGCTGAAGCCAGCGCCTTCCCTTCCAGGTGTCGGAGGTGCGGAGGACCCTGACACCAGCCAACTCCCCGGTGTCCTCCCCCAGCAAGCACGGGGACCGCTTCATCCCCTCGCGCGCCGGCGCCAACTGGAGCGTGAACTTCCACAGGATCAATGTGAGGGGCAGCGCCTCTGTGGCAGGCAGACTGGGGTGCCTGGGGGGCCATCCTCCCTCGGAGCCTTACCCCTGCACTTCCTCCCCTGCAGGAAAATGACAAATCTCCCAGCCAGAACCGGAAAGCCAAGGACGCCACCTCGGACAACGGCAAGGGTAAGCTGCCCGCCTGAGCTGCCACCCCACGCCCCCAGCCCCACGGTCCCGTCCACCCGGCTCACACGCTGTCGCCCACAGACGGCCTGGCCTACTCAGCCCTCTTGAAGAACGAGCTGCTGGGCGCCGGCATCGAGAAGGTGCAGGACCCACAGACGGAGGACCGACGGCTGCAGCCGTCCACTCCCGAGAGGAAAGGCCTGTTCACGGTGAGCCGCGCGTGGGCCCTGTCCTCTGCTGCACGGGTTCCCGTCAGGCGTGGCCCTAACACCAGCCCACGTGGCCAGGGCCAGAACCACAGTTGCTGGGGAAGCCCATGGGCAAAGGCCTGGGCAGTCTCTGCTCAGTCTCCACCCGATTCCATGCTTTCGGGTGCTCTGGGTTTGGGTGTGAAGCCCCCAAGCCCTGGCATCCCCTGAGCAGGTGTCTTCTGTCCCCAGTACTCCCTCAGCGCCAAGCGCTCTAGCCCCGATGACGGCAACGACGTATCCCCCTACTCCTTATCCCCCGTCAGTAACAAGAGGTGAGTCGGGGCCCTCGGCGGGTGGGGGCCCGGTGCAGACAGTGAAGAAGCCCACCCAGTGGCCCAAGGACCCCCAGACAGCAGCCCCGGAAGAACGGGGTGGCGGAAGCCCAGGACGGCAAGCTGCAGATTTGGGATGAGGTGATGAGCAGAGAAGCAGGGCTGGGCCCCAGGCAGGGCGGGGCGGTGCTTCCGCGCATGGGCAGAAAGCCGCAGGCCCCTGCTCCACAGTCAGAAGCTGCTGCGCTCCCCACGGAAACCCACGCGCAAGATCTCCAAGATCCCCTTCAAGGTGCTGGACGCGCCCGAGCTGCAGGACGACTTCTACCTGAACCTGGTGGACTGGTCGTCCCTCAACGTGCTCAGCGTGGGGCTGGGCACCTGCGTCTACCTGTGGAGTGCCTGTACCAGCCAGGTAGGTGCCTGCCGTGGGCTCTGGCGGGGAGGGATCAGCTTTTCTGGGGCCCCAGGGCTGGGTGGGGCATGGCAGCCCCCCGCTGCCCTCTGGGGGCGCTCAGCGTCTGCTGTGTTTCAGCCCAGGCTGCCAGCCATGGTGGCATGCCCCACATGTCCCTCCCTGTGGCCACCACGCCTGGCTGAGGCCCAACTTGGCAGGGGCCACCACTCAACACTGGCCTCTGAGATAAAGTGAGGGACTCCTCACCCCAGTACCCCTGTCCCCCCACTCCTTCATTCTCCTCTCCTTGCTGACCTGTGTCATCCCAAGAATCGCAGGGTGCCAGATGGTACCTGTGGCCCCTTGGTGCCAAGTAACGGGATGGGGACATGTCTCACATGCCCTCTGCCCCCAGGTGACCCGGCTCTGTGACCTCTCCGTGGAAGGGGACTCGGTGACGTCAGTAGGCTGGTCTGAGCGGGTGAGTGCCGGGGAACCCAGCGTGCCATCTGGAGCCCTCCCCGGGGTGCTCACCCCCCAGCCTGAGCATAGGGCTGCTCGTTGTGGGGTGCCACAGTCTACGGCAGGGTTGCAGCCCACAGGGCCCCACAGTCGGGGGGGGGGGGGGGCGGACGGTACCTCTACCTGCTCACATCCTAGATGGTGAGGAGGCCCCGGGGCGTCAGCGGAGCACTGCCCCCCTTGCTGGGTACTGGGTGGCACCGGAGCCTCACGCCTGGCCTCTGTCACCCTCAGGGGAACCTGGTGGCCGTGGGCACGCACAAGGGCTTCGTGCAGATCTGGGACGCGGCGGCCGGGAAGAAGCTGTCCATGCTGGAGGGCCACACGGCACGCGTTGGTAAGGAGTCTGGCGTGGTGCGGCGGGCTGCAGGTGGGCCCGGCCCTGACCCGCTCACCCTGCCTCCCGCCTCCCGCTGCAGGGGCCTTGGCCTGGAACGCCGAGCAGCTGTCATCGGGCAGCCGCGACCGCATGATCCTGCAGAGGGACATCCGCACCCCACCCCTGCAGTCGGAGCGGCGGCTGCAGGGCCACCGCCAGGAGGTCTGCGGCCTAAAGTGGTCCACCGACCACCAGCTCCTCGCCTCGGGGGGCAACGACAACAAGGTATGGCCGGAGCCCGGGGACGTCCCCACAGGCTGGGCATGGTGGGGTGCACCAGGCAGCCCGGCCCTGCAGCTCGGCGGGGGGTTGGGGGGGGAGCTGGGGAGGCTGGGGGCTTGCGCCTCCTGCTGGGCCAGGGCCTCACCGCCTGTGCCCGCAGCTCCTGGTCTGGAACCACTCGAGCCTGAGCCCCGTGCAGCAGTATACTGAGCACCTGGCCGCCGTGAAAGCCATCGCCTGGTCCCCGCACCAGCACGGCCTGCTGGCGTCGGGCGGCGGCACGGCTGACCGCTGCATCCGCTTTTGGAACACTCTCACGGGCCAGCCGCTGCAGTGCATCGACACCGGTTCCCAAGTGTGCAACCTCGCCTGGTCCAAGCACGCCAACGAGCTGGTGAGCGCCAAGCCGGGGAGCCGGGCGCCCCTCCGCCCTGTGTGTGTGAGTCCATGTGTCCCCGCCCCGCAGCCAACCTGACCAGCCCCGTCCGTAGGTGAGCACGCACGGCTACTCACAGAACCAGATCCTCGTGTGGAAGTACCCGTCCCTCACCCAGGTGGCCAAGCTCACCGGCCACTCGTACCGCGTCCTCTACCTGGTGAGTGGCCGCTGGCTGGGGGCAGGGCACGCTCACACCTCCACCCGATCGCAGCACCCCTCCACCGTGGGCCCTACTAGCCAGGCACCCCATTCTGCTCCCCCCCCACAGCCTGTGTGGCCCTGGGCCTTGCTTCCCCCTGGGCACGCAGCTGCCACCTCCAAAGTGACCGCGCCTCCCGCCTCCCCCCTGCGCCCCCCCACTCTGCCCCCAGCGCTGCCTGCAGCTGTCCTGTCCTCTCCGCAGGCAATGTCCCCTGACGGGGAGGCCATCGTCACCGGGGCTGGCGACGAGACCCTGAGGTTCTGGAACGTCTTTAGCAAAACACGATCGACAAAGGTAAGGCAGGCCCTGCCCCAGCCCCACGCACACCCTGGCCCCGCCGCCCCGCCGCTGCTCACGAGCCCCGTGTCCACAGGAGTCCGTGTCGGTGCTCAACCTCTTCACCCGGATCCGATAGGCCCACGGGCGGAGCGCGTCCCTGTGGAGACCGCCTGCCAGCTTGCATGGACCCGCGTCCCCGCCCGCACAGTCCCTGGAGGAGACGGCGGGCGGCCGGGCGGGCGCTGGGCCTGGAGACCCCCGAAGAGTCTCATTAAATGCCTGATTGTGAGCCATGTCCACCAGTGTCTGGGGCGGGGACACGGGACCCTCCGCAGCGGGCCCTGTTGTCACCCTTCTTGGAGAGCCGAACCCCCAGTGTCCCCGGGGCCTTGGCCCGCGCCAGCCATCAGCACTCGGCACAGTGGACGCCAGGGACCCACGGCGCTGTCCGGTGCTGCCTGGAACCCGGGCCACTGCCACCGCTGCCCGTGGCTATGTCGGACAGACAGCTGGACACCAGGCTGGCCTGAGACCACGGGTCAGCCGCCACCAGCCAGGGGCCATGGACCCAGGGCATCTGCAGCGCCATGGCTCCACCTGCCAGGCAGCCTCGGTGCCAGCTGGGGACAGCGTGGGTGCCTGCTGCCCCCACATCTGGTGGTGGACCTGTCATCGCGAAACTCGCTGAGTCTTGGCCATCGTGCGTCCTGTGTTCGCCTCTCTGCTTCCCCTGCCCGTGTGACTCTGCGTCCGCCGTGGGCACGGGGCCGCGAGTAACCAGGGCACCAGGTGTGTCCATCCTCCCTCCCCCCGCCCGGTGCGCGGCCGCCTGCCTGTCTCCATCCGGTCGCCTGCCGTGGGAAGGGCGCTCAGCCCTCTGGAAGCCTTCCGGGGCTTCCCTGACCTCAGATCCTGTGTCTTCTTACCCCTCCCTCCCCCAGCAGCCAGTGGTGCCCATCCTCAGCCCCTCCTGCCGGGGCGGGGCCTGCTGGCCAGCGCCTGTGCGCATGTGTATATATGTATTTGTGACTCCCTCATGTCTGTTTCTGTGTTTTGTTGCCAGTCCTGGAGTTTTGGAGGCACGGGCAGGGCTGGGTGGCCGCCCTGGGTCACAGTGATCCCTGACCTGCCACAGCGTGCTGGTCGCAGGGCATGGCTGGCGTGCAACCCCTTACGCCTCTCTGAGGTTGAAAGCCCAGCCAGCGGGTGGCTCACAAGTAATCTCAGCCATTCCGGAGGCTGAGTTCTAAGAATGAAGGTTCGAAGCCAGCCTGGGCAGGTTGTCTATGAGACTCATGTCTAATGGACCACCAAAAAGCCAGAAGTTGGAGCTCTGGCTCGAGTGGTCGAGTGCCAACTTTGCGCACAAAAAAGTGAAAAGCGCGGCTGCGCCCCCAGCCCTGCCCTGGCTCTGCCAGCTCGGTGGCAAAGGATGCGGGGCACAGCGAGGTGCCAGGCAGGGCGAGGTGCTGGGCAGAGCTGCCCCGCTGCGGGGGTCCTGCAGGAGCCTCGTCCTGTGGGCGCTGAGCTGGGTCCTTGTGCTGGGGTGGCAGAGAGGTAACAGGTGTAGACAGGGCCTGACCCCAGTGAGGGGGCAGAAGGGCTCTTGGGTAGAGTGCCAGGCCCTGACCTGGCACTGCCCAGAGCATCTCACGGAGGGATACCTGGTGGTGTGCTGGTCGTGGAAGGTAGCTGTTGGTGTAGAGGAAGGGGTGGGGAGGGGCACGTGGCGGGCATGAGGGAAGGAGGGACTGCAAGTGCTGGTGAGGGTCTGGTTGGTGAGTAGTGGTAGTGAGCAAGGGGAGCAGAGAAGGTGAGGGGCTGCTGAGTGAGGGAGGGATGGGGCTTAGTCTGTGGGACTGGCCGCTGAAGGACAAAGCCTGCAGCCCACGCCAAGGCCCTGGAGCAGGACAGAGCCTGGCACACAGGCGGGGCAGGACTGGGGCCCCTAGGTGGGACCTGGCTGCCGGGGGGAAGCAGAAGGGCCGACCGGGAGCCCTTGGTGGTTGTGTTTACATTTTCTTGTGGTAATATGCATAACAATATATACTGCCAAAAAGTAAACCGGTTCAGTGGAGTTAGTATATTCAGTTTTATAACAATCCGAACTTCAGAACTTCCCCTGATCACCAAAAGGAAGCTCATCCCCGGAGCTGCCGCCGAGACCCCTCCCTGTCCGTCCCACCCCTCACGTCCACTTCCTGTGCAGGTCCAGTTCTGGACGTTTCTCATCCACAGAGCCCGGTGTGGCCCTTTGTATGTCTCGAGCCTGTTCCTGTGCCTGGGTGTGTGATGTTCCCACGTGGGGGTGCGGTGCCCTGCGTGCTCCTCCGGCGGTGGGCGCAGTGCTCCCCATTACTGCTGAGAGCGCCGTGTTAGGTCAGGGAGGGGCGAGGGCGGGAGAGCTGGAGGGTGCCGAGGGGCCCCAAATGCCCCCTAGCCATTGGAGTGGCTCCCCACCGCTGGGGAGGGGGAGGACAAAGGCAGGGCGGGGCCCAGGGCTGACCACCCGCCCGTTGCCAGGACACCGGAGTGGGTGGCCTTTGTCCCTGTCAACAGTGGCCCTAGTACCTCCCTTCCCGGAGCCTTGGGATGCAGAGGCAGACATGCAGACCCTGAGGCGGGAGGCTGCCCGGCCCTACGTCCCCTTGGGCACCCTTGAAGTTGACTTCCCGGCCCCTCGCCACAGGTGGGTCCCCGCCAGCACACCGGGGCTCTGTGTGGCTTCCTGCTAGGTGGGCTCTGGCAGTGAGCGGAGCTCGAGCGCCACCCTGTGGTCTGGAGCACGGACAGCCCTGTTCTCAGTTCCCCAGGCCCAAAGAAAATCCCCCCCCCCCCCCCCCCCCACCAGGGATCCAGCCTGCCATCCAGGCTACTCAGACCTGGCTGGTTCAGAGAAGTCCAGACTCATAGCCATTGACCTGCTAAATGCCAGGAGGGTGGTATGGCTCAAAAGTGGTAAACCACTGGCAAAAAAGCAGAGTGCCTAAGGCCCAGCGTCCAAGTCCAGCACCAGCTCAAAAATGAGAAGCTGGGCCTGGGGGACAGGACCCCACACATCTGTGACCTCAGCCCTCGGGGTGCTGAGGTGGGTCAGTTCCAAACCAGCCTGGGTGATGGGGATCCTTCCTCTTTTTTGGGGGGGGTTGGTCATGGGCCTTGAACTCTGGGTCTGTGCGCTGTCCCTGCGCTCTTCAGCTCAAGGTGAGTGCTCTACCGCTTGAGCCACACACTTCCGGTTTTCTAGTGGTTTATTGGAGATGAGTCTCATGGACTTTCCTGCCCGGGCTGGCTTTGAACTGCGATCCTCAGATCTCAGCCTCCTGAGTAGCTGGGATTACAGGTGTGAGCCACCGGTGCCCAGCAAGGGACCCTTCCTTTTAAGCTCAGACCAATCCAAAGCCGGGTGGAAAAGGCAGCCCCACATGGCTGCTCTGGGAGATGGCAGAAAACACTACAAAGAGGAACAACCAGGTGCAGGTTCATTTGGAGACAACCTTGCTATGGAGCACTCAGTCCTCCTAAGGATTGAGGTTAGAGGCCGTACCACCATGCCTGGCAGGAAAGTTTTTTTTGTGGGAAGTTCATACGTTGTGCTGGGATTCACCCAGGGCCTTGCCCCAGATTTCAGTAACCCTGAAGTGTGTTTGGCCCATGTTCACTGCAGATTCTGTTTAACCATCTACACTGCCCTGGGACCTTTGCACATGCTGTTTACCACCTCTACAGGCTCTTCCTGATCTCAGCCTAGGCCAGGTTCTGCCTTCAGATGCAGACACATCATATCATTTAACCTGTCTGCCAACACCCACCCCGCTCTAGCTCAGCGTCCTGGGGCACTCCCAGGCAGGGGGTCTTCCTGGAGGAAGTGCTCCAAAGGGCTTTCAAGTCTGACCAGGCCGCACGCGGCCCCTCTGTCAGAGCTCTCCTCCGGGTTAAGGGGTTGGATGGGACAAGCTCAGGGAGACTCCCGTTCTGGATTCCGGCAAGCTGAGGCTGGGGCCGGCCAGAGCCGCCCGCTCACCCTCGGCCCCCCTCAGCGATGACTACCTGTTCATGGAGGGGCCTCGCTGGACACCGGCCATCAAGCACGGGACGCGCTGGAAGTACTCGCCCATGGGACGCGACGCCGCCGGCCAGCTGTTGTACACCGGCCTGACCAACTCGGACCCCCGCGAAGCCTGGTACAACCTGCCCCGGGCCCTGGACAGCCCCTACCGCGAGGCCTACGCCCGCTGGCACGGGTGCTTGGACCACCGCCAGCGGGGCCTGCCCCCCGGTGAGCGCCCCCTGCTCGCAGGGTCACCCCCAAGGCCAGGCTGCTCCTGGGGACAGGCCCCGCCTCCCGGCACCCAGTCACTCACAGGACAGGCCCCGCCTCCGCGAGCTGTCCCGCCCACCCTCGGGAGAGGCCCCGCCTCCCGGCACCCAGTCACTCACAGGACAGGCCCCGCCTCCGCGAGCTGTCCCGCCCACCCCGGGAGAAGCCCCGCCCACAGGGCACCCAGTCCACTCAGGGCAGGCCCCGCCTCCGCGAGCTGTCCCGCCCACCCCGGGAGAAGCCCCGCCCACAGGGCACCCAGTCCACTCAGGGCAGGCCCCGCCTCCACGCGGTGCGCCGCCCTGACCAGCCCCGCCTCCGCAGCCTACACTCAGCACGTGCGGGACAACGCGTGGTACGACCCCGTGCTCCCCGCCCAGTACAAGAGCCCGAACACCCGCTGGGGGAGCGCGCTGTGGAGGGACAGGCTCCTGCGTGGCAAAGACTATGGTGAGCCGCCCGCCCGGAGTCACCTGGGCCGGCGGGGGGGGGGGGGGGGGGCGGGGCACCTGCGGGGGCGGGGCCGGGACCCCGCGCGGTGACCCGGCCCTCGCCTCGTCCCGCCCCCCAGTTGTGAACCGGAACCGATTCGGGGAGGAGCCGCGTGGGACGTGGGACTACGTGCCGTGCCTGTCGGCGGCCCAGCGGCCGCGCTACGCCTCGCGGGCCCCGCGGACCTGGGGCCTGGAGCCCTGCTGCGGGACGCCGCCGCCGCGGTCCCCCCATGCGCACGCGCACGCGCCCGCGTTCCGATAAAGCTCCTGCTGTCGCCAGCCCGGCTCCTCGGCGCCTCTCGGCCGCGGGCGGGCGGGCGGGCCGTCAGGGCCGGGCTCCGGGGTCCCCTGGAAGGCGGAGCGCGGGTGAGTGCGGGGCCCGGCCCCCGCCCGCCCGCCCCGCCGCCCGCGCGGGCCCCACTCACGCGTCCGGAGGCCGATGGGCCAGACGAAGAGGCTGCAGAGCGCCAGCGCGGCCGCCGCGCCCACGCCGCCCGTCACCGCCGCCATCACCCAGCGGTAGAAGCCCACGCAGGCCGCGCAGCACAGCTCCGAGCTGGGGGCGACACGGGGGGGCACGGTGGGCTGCCGCCCCTGCCCGACCCCCAAGGCCACCTGCCGCCTCCAAGAGCAGCCGCCGGAGGCCGCCCGTGAGCCGGGGGGGTCCCGGTCCGAGTCCCTTTGTTCCTCCAGCTGGCCACTCATTCCTGCCCCAGGGCCTTTGCCTGTGGCCCACCTCAATGCCCCCAGTCCCTTGAGGCTGGGACCAAGACAGCCCAGTCGGGTCCTAAGCCGGCAGAAGTGCCAGCCCTGCACCCCATCTTGAGTTCTGCGGGTCTGGCGGACTGCGCCCTCCTCCAGCCTGACCCACGCACCTGTGGTGTCTGCCTTGGCAACCCGGACTCATACCACATCCAGTGTGAATGTATGAACTGCCCTTTATCGCCCCCCCTCCCCTCCTCCCCCCGCCCCCAGACCCACGGGCCTGCAGGACACAGGGCTGGTGGGAAAGAAGAAGGGGTGAGTGAAGGACTCACGGACAGGGATGCAGGCTCTGCACAGCCATGACCGCCAGCCCGTTGGCCACCTTATCTGAGAAGCTCATGGCACCATACACAAAGGCTCCACTGTCCTGGGGGACAAAGGTCAGGGGGGCGGGTCAGTGCCCAGCCCGCGCGTGGGGTTTCCCGGCCTCCGGGAGTCCTGTCCAGCAGTCCTACCGTATGGGGGCCGATGAGGTCGGCTGTCATGGCCAGCGAGGTGACGAGGATGGTGGCAGAGCCGGCGCCCAGCAGCACCGCCGCCGCGTACACGGCCACGCCCAGCGTGTCCGCCAGCGCCACCCAGGCCGCGAAGGCCAGGATCACCAGGAGGCCGGCGAAGTAAGTCAGCTGCAGGGGAGGAAGTGGAGGAGGCCCAGCCCGAGTCAGGCCCACGCCCACACCGGTCCTGGCACTAGCCCCCTCTGGTGGTCACAGCCACTGAGATAAAGGACTTGTCACACTTCCAAGCTTTGCAAGGCATGGGGCATGGAGGGTGGGAGGCGGAGACCCCAGAGCCCCCCATCTGCGCCTTTGGGGTCCCCCCCACACACACACCAAATCCCAGGTGTTTGTCCACTCACGTTCCGCCCCATGTACTTGTTGACCGGCTTCATGAGGAAGGAGGAGCAGAAGCCGCTGAGGTACATCACCAGGGGAATGGTGGCGATGAACTTCTGTAGGGGCACAGCACCAGCGATCCACACGGGGTCCATGAGGTGGCCATGCCAGGGCCCAGCCCGCCATCCCACCATCCCGCCATCCCGCCATCCCGCCAACCCGCCATCCCGCCATCCCGCCATCCCGCCATCCCACCAACCCACCATCCCGCCATCCCACCAACCGGCCCCGGCCAGCTCACCTTGGGCAGGTGGAGGGAGTAGGTGAGGTACATGGCCACGTAGGTCTGAGACAGGTTCACGATGAGCCTGGTGCTCATGTACAGCACGCCCACCTGTGGGTAGATCAGCAGAGGGACAGCTAGGGAAGGGTCAGCAGAGGCCTCTCCGCAACCCACCAGCAGGGGGCACTGGGGCCCCGGTGAGAACTCCCAGAGACCCATCTTAGCTGTGACTGCACAGCAGGGACCAGTAGGAATGAGAGACTTGATCCACTGGTGATGTCTCTCATGGGTGTGGGATGAAAGATGGATTGCTAATGTCTGCCCTGGGGGTAGCAAAGTCACATGGGTTGTGTGTGCCACCTATTGGCTGAGGAGTAGGCCTGGCGGGAAGGGAGGTGCCCACTCCAGCCCCCCCTGCATCCCCACATCGTACCTGGTAGAAAGCTGGCTCCTGCAGCCAGTGCTTCCAGAGCAGCAAGGGCCGGGCTGTGGGGGCCAGCAGCGGGCTGCGCTCGTCGGGCTCCTCCGCCCTCCGCGGGCGCCCCTCCCTGGTGCCCAGGTGGAAGAGCAGTGAGGAGGCGGCGCCCACGCCCACCACCAGCAGGGCCAGGTTCTGGGGGACGGCGGGAGAGGGGTCAGGGGCCAGGGGTCAGAGGCAGTGCCAGGGGCTCAGGTCTCCCGAGCGGCCTGCCTAGGTTACCCCCAGCTCACCCGGAACACGGGCACATCCTGGGCCCCCAGCTGGTCACCCACATCCATGTCCCGGGCAGGGGCCTGCAGGTGGAGGAGCAGCCAGGCAGCGCCAAAGACGGCGATGTTGGCCACCACGGTGAAGGCATACCTGGGAGAGGGTGGGAGAGGGAGGGAGAGGGTGGGTCGGGTCTCAGCAGGTGCAGGGACCCCTCCCCTTCCTCCTCCCCCCCCCCATGGAAGTCAGGGCCACCAGAGGACCCCTAGCTGTCGACAAGTGCAGCCACCGGTGGCCCAGGCCTGCCTCAGTTTCCCCAGCCGACACAGGGCTCACCCCCACAGAACCTATTCACCCGCCTAGGGCCAAGTCCAGACCTAGTTACCGAGTCCCCCCACATCTGAATAAGCGCTTGCTGGAAGGGCCCCGACTCTGGCATTCTGTTCCCAGATGCCTGAGCTCCCACCAGCCCAGGAATCCAGGGTTTAGAACCATCTAGGCCTCTTTCCTGCAGAAGAGAAACACCCTGGCCAATGGCGGTGGTTAGCCGGGGAGTCTCACAGGGAACCGAAAGGCAGGGCTGGAAGGAGGCACCAGGGCCCCCCAGCACTGAGTTGTAGCCAAGCCTGGCTTTCGGGGCTCTGTGGTAGAGCGTTCACGGTACAGGGAAGCCCTGGGCTGCGTCCCCAGCGCCACAAATCAAGCTGCAAGCCAGTTCCTCTTCTGGAATGAGGAAGTGGGGGGCACAGCCAGCGTCAGCACCCCCCCCCATTAAAACCGAACTCTGCCCTCGCTGAGAGGCACACAGCGACCATGTCACCTCCGGGGACAAGAAAGGGATCTCGTAATGCCACTTAGGGTGGGGCGGAAACCGTCATCCTGGGCGGGCCTGGCCTAATCAGGTGACTTTCGCCACGGGCCCCAACTCCCTGCTGCACATCTGTCATCCCTCCACTTCGGAGGCTTGAGGCAGGAGGATCACAGAGAAGAAAAAGGAAGGGGGGAGGCTGGGGGAGGGGGGAGAGGTGTTTCCATGAGGCTCAGCCCAGTCAGCATCTTCCTTTCGGGAGCTGTGACGGCCGCCCGAGGACAGAGGCTGTTCACACCCCGGGTGTGTGTGTGTGTGTGTGTGTGTGTGTGTGTGTGTGTGTGTGTGTGTGTGTGTGTGTGTGTGTGTGTGTGTGTGTGTGTGTGTGTGTGTGTGTGTGTGTGTGTGTGTCATGTTACGCAGCAGTAGCTGACAGATGCACCTTTCCCTCCATGCTCCCGGCTTGGGCCCTGGGGTACCTGAGGGCGGTGAGCTCCACCTTCTCGTGGTCGTTGGTGGCCAGCACGGGGATGAGGCTGAGGTGGGCGACCTGCGTGGCGGCCCAGCCGAACTGGAAGATGACGATGAAGGGCGCGTAGTAGAGCAGGGCCACCCACTCGGGCGTGCGCTCCCCGCAGCCCAGGCACGGGCTGAAGATGAACGGGAAGGACAGCAGGACGCAGATGGTACCTGTGGAGGCGGGGAGATGGGGCCACGCCACGCTGCGTCACATCCCGGGCCTCCCCGCACCAGCCCAGGGCTTCCAAACACACACATGGGGGTGGGGAAACTAAGGCACAGCAGGCATGGCCCCCCCCCTGCCCCTCCCCCCCCCCCCCCCCCCCCCCCCCCGGCTCCATACTGTAATGAGCACAAAGGCCCATCTGCTCCCTGCATGCGGACCTTAACCACGGCCCCACCCGTGTTCTGGTGACCACCATGAGGGGGGGAAGGACAGTCACCCTGTGGGGACAGCCAGGCAGCAAGGGTCCAGGTGGCCCTGGGCCAATCCATCCGTCCTTCGCTCATAAAATGGCGCCTCCCAGGGAACTGAGGTGACCAAGCCTCCCCAGGAACCGCAGCCCCCGCCCCTCTCCCCTCCTCCAGTGTACCTCAGGACCTTTACACGTGCCATGTCCTCCGCCTGGATGGCTTCTCCCTCCCATCATAGCAAAGTGGCCCCTCCGGCCTCGCCCCATCTTCCCCACCAGAGCTCAACACCACAGGTGGGCACGGGTCCTCTCAAGTCCCCTCTGTGCCCCAGGGATCTCCTGACCCATCCAGACTCCGGAGGATGGGTTGAATAATAAACACGGAGCCTCAACTCAGAGCTCAAAGTGGTGCTGTGACCACGGTGCACCAGATGAGGAGATGGAGGCCAAGTGCAGAGCTCTGAGCCCACGGCCACGGCCGGTGACCTCACCCTGCGTCCCGGCCTCTGCCTCTGCCCCTCCCTCCTTCCTCTGGCATGGAAATGGAGTCAGCCCACAGCCCGTCCTCCTCTGAGCCAAATGGAAGCGGGAAACGGTCAGTTCCCAGAGGCAGGGGGGGTGGGGGTGGGGGGTGGGGGGTGGGGTGGCCCAGCACTAGACTGTGAACTCCAGGGAGGAAAACTGGGCTGGCTCCCCGAGGCTGGCATCAGAAGGTCTGGCTTGGGGTCCTGGGGCAAGCGACTTGGCCTCTCTGGGCTCCCAGGAAAGGTCCTGCCTCCCGGGATTGGCAGGAGAAGGACTGACCTTCAAGGCTGGCGGGATCCCTCCTCAACTCTGGGCCACTTCCTGACTCAGCCCTTACATACCCTCTCTCAGCTGCCCCTCCTGCCTACACACTCCTACTCACCTGTCAAAACCCCAAAGCTAATGTCCCTGTCCCCCATTGCCCCCCACTCCCCCCCTACCCATCTCCACCACCCAGACTCCGGAGTGAAATAGAGAAGTGGGCACCACTGCCAGGATGACTGTTACTCATGTCCTTATCAACTATTAGGAGATACTTCCCTGTCTCCCTTTCTCAACTGAGAACTGGGAAGGGGTATAGGCTGGGGCCTTAGGGCCATTTACCAGGGGTTTTATACAAACACAAGCCTGCACCCCTGTGGCCTCCACTTCTTCTGGTGTCCCAGCTGCCTCCTCTGGGGTCAGTGGGAGCCTCCCCAGACTTCAGACCTCCCCCTCATGACAGGAGCCAGGGAGCTCTGCACTGATCACATGCCAGACCTCAGGGCCTTTGCACATGCAGTGTCCTTTGCCAGGGATCCCTTCTCCTGGCTGGCTGAGGAGAGAAAGGAAGGTAGGGCAGGGGAGGGGAAGGAGGATCCCCTGCGGCTCTCCTCCACCCTGCGCAGGAATTCCCTGGTGCAGTTGGGACTCTCCAGCCTACATGGGGCTCTGCCCTTCACCCGGGCATCAGTTCAGAGGAAGGGCAGCTTGGCCACCTCTGTTTCCTCCTCCCACAGGGCTGCCATAGTGAGGTGACCCGGGTCCAGCCCCCTGACCTCACAGCCCCGGGGCCTCCAAGCAGTCCACCATGGTCACCCACAAGTCGCAAGGTTCACTACAATCTTGCAAAAAGTACCACTCAGGAGGCCAGGCGTGGGTCAGAGCACGCCCCGTCCCCCCAGGGCAGAGGGGCGCCTGGGCGGCCAGGGCAGGCTCCTCTCCCGGGCTTATCAGAGGGGCCAGCCCGCACCCCTCCAGGACTCCACCCCAGACAGCACCCGGGGGGACCCCGGGGAGGGACAGCAGATAAGTCTCGAGGCACACCCCGCTCCGACCCCGCAGCACTGCCTGGGACGGTCAACGGGTGGGCTTGAGCTGGACCAGACAGACAGACAGACCGACAGGAGGCGCTGGACAGGCGGATGAAGCCGGCACCCCGGGGTGTCACAGAGGGAGAGGGGCCAGCCCGACGGGGGAGGCCGGCTGTGGGACAGACAGACGGAGTGGGGCGCGGCCGGCGGGGGGGGCAGGCAGGGGACACCCGGCCGCAGATAGGCCGGGGAGGAGGTGTCGGCCCTGAGGCCGCCCGGGGCTCCGATGGCGGTGAGACGGGTCAGGAGGGCGCTACAGAGGGACGGACGGACGGACAGGGGAGGAGACACGCACGGGGCCTGGGTGTGAGTGTCGGGTCAAACCCCACCAAGGGGGGCCCGTCCCACGGTGAGGAGCGCAGCCCACGTCGGGGGCTCGGGCCCCGCCGTCGGGTCGCGCCCCGCCGCACTCACCCGCCAGGTGCCAGGCGCGGCGCGGGCCGTAGCGGGCGCAGCGCGCGCGCATGCGCGCGGCCTCGCAGCCCACCAGCGGCGTGCACAGCCCGTCGGCGGCCTGGCCGAGCAGCAGCAGCGCGCCCGCGCCGCGCGAGCTGTAGGCGCGCACGGCGTGCAGGTAGAGCAGCAGGTACGCGAACCACATGGCGGCGCTCAGGTCGTTCAGGAAGTGGCCCACCGCGAAGCTCAGCCGCGCCACCGCCGACAGCGGCGGCCCCGCGGCGCCCCGCGGCCCCGCCGGCGGCCCGGGGCCCATGGCAGCGGGCGGCACGGGCGGCGCGCGGACGCCGGGGCCGCAGCCACGCTCGCCGGGCCCTCCCGGAGCTCGCGCCGCGCCGCCGGGCCCCGCGCGGACCCCGCCGTCCCCGCCGTCCCCGCCGTCCCCGCCGCCGCGGCCCGCGATCACCTCTGCGGCCGCCGGACCCGCGGGCGGGGAGGTTGGCTGGCCGGGCGGGGCAATCCCCGGGAGCGGCGGTCGGCTCCACCAATCAGATCAGCGCGCTGGGGCCAGGCAGCCAATCATCAAAGAGGAGGGCGGGGACTCGAGGGTTAGCCCGGCCTCCCACACACTCGGGGCGTCCGCGCGGTCCTAGCGCCCGCTCGGTACTCGGGGGTGCGCGGGGACCCCCGGAAGGTTGATTGACGGGACGTCCCGGAGAGACGCGGTCACGGTGCCTGCCGCCCCCTCGGGCCTCCCGCCGCCGGGCCGGCCGACACTCCAGCCCGCGGCCCCGCGGTGGTCCCGCGGCGGCCCGCTGCGTCGGGGCGGAGGCACGAGCGCTAATTAATTAGTAATTACGGATAATGATGGGGCCCGGCGGGGCAACACCAGCCGGCGTTTAACGAGCGCCGGCGGGGCCAGGCGCCCCACGTGGCGGAGGCCAATGGCTGGCCCACCCCGGGGTGTGGGCCGGGCCGGGGAGCGGGGCTGGGGCGCCCGGCCAGCCCGGGAGCCGCGGGGCCCACCCCGCCGGGACACCCCGCTTCTGCGGGGTTTAACACCGCGCCCCGCAGGACCGTCCCGCCTCGGCTGCTGCTTCCTGAGTGCTGGGATTACAGGCAGCCCCGCCCGGCCCGGCCTCCCTGGAATCCTAGAACTCGCCTGGTGGGGGGGGGGGGTCAGGGGGCTGGAACTCAGGACCTGGGTGCTGTCCCTGAACTCTCCTGCTCAAGGATAGCCCTTTCACCAAGTTGAGCCACAGCTCCACATCCGGTTTTTAACACTCTCTGGAAGACTTTTCTGCCCCAGGCTGGCTTCAAACCACTATCCTCAGAGCTCAGCTGTAGCTGGGATGACAGGTTTGAGCCACCAGCACCTGGCCCAGCCCCACTTGCTGATTGTACAAGAGCCACTGTCTTCCGCACACTGGACAGCACGTGGGTATGACTCCACAGAACTGCACCCTGGAGGCTGAGATCTGAGGATCAGAATTCAAAGCCGGCCTGGGAAGTCTATGAGACACCCTCCACCCTCCACCCCACCCTGGGGCTTGAACTTAGGGCCAGGGCGCTGTCCCTAAGCCTCTTTGTGCTCAAGGCTAGCACTCTACCACTTGAGCCACTTCTGGCTCTTTTAGAGTAGTGTATTGGAGATAAGAGGCCCACCAGCTGGGCACTGGTGGCTCACACCTGTAATCCAACCTATTCAGGAGGCTGAGATCTGAGGAGGATCACAGTTCAAAGCCGGCAGGACAGGAAAGTCTGTGAGACTCTTCAATGAACCACCAGAAAACTGGAAGTGGCGCTGTGGCTCAAGTGGTAGAGCACTGACCTTGAGCTGAAGAGCTGAGGGGCAGCGCCCAGGCCCAGGGTTCAAGGACTGGCAAAAAAAAAAAAAAAAAAAGAAAGGACTGGAGATGAGGTTGATCTCTGTGGGGAGATGAAGGGATAAGAGACAATTAGAAACTCTATTCCTTCCTTCCTGCCCTTGAGGCAACTTTGCACTTAGCCAAAGCTTTGTGTTCTCTCCGGAGCCCACAGATGTGTGTTCCACAGCTGGAGGCACGGCACAGGGCCTCTAGCTGACCTGGGCAGACTGAGGATTGAACTTGGCTCTTTAGGAGCTAGCTGCTTACTAGTGGGAAAAGGCAGGGCCCCTGTGAGGGTGACTTGCTGGGGTGTTATCTCTGCTGCTTTCTATCTCCTCAGCTGATCTAGAAGCAAACCCAGAAGATTCACCAGGAAGGGTTGTTTTGGGTATTGTGGTCCTTTGATTTCGATTTTTTTTTTTCCTTGTCGATTGTGAGGCTTGAACTCAGGGCCTGGGCACTGTCCCTGAGCTTCTTTTGCTCAAAGCTAGTACTTGAGCCCCAGCATCACTTCCAGCTTTTTCTATGTATGTGGTACTAAGGAATTGAACCCAGGGCCTCATGCATGCGAGGTAGGCAAGCACTCCACCACTAAAAGCCACATTCCCAGCTCTGTTGGTTCCGTATCTTGAAGTTGGCTTCAGTATGCATATTATTTTGTATAAATATGGAGAGGATTTTCACTGGCATTTCTGAAACGGAGTACATTCGCTTTAAATATGGGAAAAAAATTTAAAAATGGAAAAAGCAGATTAAGACCTCATTACAAGTGATGTCAACACCATGAGAACTCTCTTCCAACGCAGATATTCTAAAAATAAAGAATAGCTATTCCCATTGAACAGAAACTCCTGTTAGATTCTGTGTTGATGCTTGCAATCGTTGGGGATATAAAAGTGTAACATGTATAGAAAAATGGGAAACGGGAGATAAAACATACGTCCTGGGAACAACAGTTACATCAAACAGTCACATGCAAAGGTAATCTAAACTAGGAAATAAAAATGTGGAAAAGTGGAATGAAGTGTATATATTATTTTGTAGCATGTACTCTAGCTAATTATTACCATGGAGAGGCACTTAGGCATTGTGCATTTGTGATTCTCTCCTAAGACTATGCTCTTTGGGTCTCACTGTATTGATCTCGAATCCTGTGTAATTTGTCATAGCCCAGTGTATTTTAGATCAAACTTCTGCATATCAGAGAGAACATGTGCCGCTCATCTCTCTGAGTAAGGCTTACCTTACTTAACACTATTTGTTCTAGTTCCATCCATTTCCCTGCAAATGACATTACTTTGTTTTACTAACGGCTGTATAAGAGTCCATTGGATACAGGAACCACCTATTTTGGATCTGCTCATCTATTGTGGGGCATCTGGGCTGTTTCTGTATCTTGGCTATTGTGAATAGTGTGGCAATGAACATGGATGTGCAGCTGTCTTTATCATGTCCTGGCTTATGAGGGTAGATGCCCAGGAGTGGAATAGCTGGGTTGTGGGAAGGTCTGGGTTTAGTTTTTTTGTCTTTTTTTTTTTGCCAGTCATGGGGCCTGAACTCTGGGCCTGGGCGCTGTCCCTCAGCTCTTCAGCTCAAGGCTAGCACTCTACCACTTGAGTCACAGCACCACTTCTGGCTTTTTCTGCCTATGTGGTGCTGAGGAATCCAACCCAGGGCCTCAGGCATGCAAGGCACGCGCTCTATCACTGAGCCACCTTCCCAGCCCCATAGGTTTAGTTTTTTGAGGAACCTCCAGACTGCTGTCCGGCGGGGTTGTAGTATTGTGTGTGTGTGTGTGTGTGTGTGTGTGTACTGGTCCTGGGGCTTGAACTCAGGACCTAGGCACTGACTGTGAGCTTTTTCCGCTCAAGGCTAGCGCTCTACCACTTGAGCCACAGCACCACTTCCAGTTTTCTGGTGGTTTATTGGAGATAAGAGTCTCACTAACTCTCCTGCTGGCTGGCTTTGAACTGGGATCCTCAGATCTCAGCCTCCTGAGTAGCTAGGATGACGGGTGTGAGCCACCGGTGCCTGGCATGCAGCTGCTTTTTTAATTTTCGCCTGACTAATGGGAGATAAGAGTCTTACAGACTTTACCTGCCGGAGACTACTTCAAACCAGTCTCCTGATTGGCTGGGATTACAGGCATGAGTTGCTAGCCTGTGTGCTTCTGGGGTTTTAGAGTTCGTGGGGAAAGCAGGAAGAGTCCCCTTGCATCCAGGGTCACCTCTTCCATGCAGCCTCCCTGGATTGGAAGTCAGCCAGAGAAAGTGTGGAGGGGAGGGGCAGTGGGAGGAGCAGAACTGTCACCCCGAGATTACTGGGGAGTTATGACAGGACTCTGCATGCACCCCCACATCCCATCTTCCTGGACATGGGTCACACAGGATCAAAGCGAGCCTCTGCACCTGACACCACCACCCCGCTCACCCCCAAGACAGGATGGAGCTCCAGCAGGACCTCCCATCTCCGGCCCTGAGGAGAGACAGGCAGATAAAAGTTCAATGATAGAAACCACTGCAAAGGACCACGTGCCCAGCAAGAGGGGAGGAGCGGGGATGGAGCAGGTTTAGGGGTGAAGATCAGAGAAGAGATGGATTTAGGGGGTGAAGATCTGAGAGAGCCAGGAAGGAGGCTTGACTGCCCGCCCTTGGGCTGCCCAGACAGGTCCAGGGGTCAGCAGCAAAGATCCTGGAAACTTCAGAAGTCTCCAGCGCGTCCTAAGTCGCACCCAGCCCGCGTCTCCCCTCCCCTGGCCAGGGATCCGATGTCCTGGTGGCTTCTGTCCAGCCTCAGGGATGGGAGCCGACTTTGCGCTCTTGGGCACAGGTCCGGGCATGGAGGTGGAGGAGGTCCTGAGGCTCCACAGAGGGGGGGGAAGTCATCTCCAACAGGGCCTGGGCCTCAGTTTCCCTCTTTGTAGAACAGAATTAAAAATCACTGAGGCTAGACATGTGGCTCAGTGGTAGAGTGCTTGCCCAGCATACATGAAGCCATGAAGCCCTGGGTTCGATTCCTCAGCACCACATACACAGAAAACGCCAGAAGTGGCGCTATGGCTCAAGTGGTAGAGTGCTAGCTTTGAGCAAAAGCTCAGGGACAGTGCCCAGGCCCTGAGTTCAAGCCCCAGGACTAGTATAAGTGCGTGCATGCACGCGCGCACACACACACACACACACATAAAGAGGAAGACATTTTCTTTTTCTGGGGATGTAGTCCTACGCCGAGGAACACTGTGTATTGTACTTGCATTGGTTCTGGGGGGCTCTGTGATCCCCAAGGCTGAGTCTCCTGTCCCAGCTCCAAGGAGAGACCTCAGAAAGTGACCTTATTTGGCAACAGGGCGGTTGCAGATAGAACTGGCTAAGATGACCTCATCAGGCCTGGGCCTGGCCCACTGGGACACGTGTCCCTAGGAAAAGGGGAAATTTGGATGCAGGGCTGTGGTGGGGTGCTAACCGAGGCGGACAGCAGGAGCCACCGGCAACCGCTGGGGACAGGCCCATGGCTGCACCTCCCCCGGACCCCAGAGACGTCCCAGCCTTTGCGGTTTGCT